CCCCCCCCCAAGGTCTAAGTTCATCATTTGGCAGCAGGTCCTGCCCACAGCTCCAGCACTGCCCCACAAACCCAGAGTTCTGACTGCACCGGCCCTGTACGGTACCATGGGAATGTCTAACAGAGATCACTTCATAAAAAAAACACTGATTTCAGTAATTCCTGGCAATTCCCTGTAAGGCTGTGGCTGTCCCAGGACAGGAGTTCAGGGCTGCTGTTGCTGTTGAAGACTGTGTGAAACCATCATACACCTGAGCTGAAAGCACTTTGAGGGCCTTTCAGTTGATGACAAAAAAAAGCAGTATATACAAACCAATTATAAATACACTCTGTACAACACTCCTTAAAAAGTATACATAGAATCTTAATCTGCAAATTAGTGCCTGATTTCACCCTGCCTTTTGAAGCAGATGTAACTGTGCCATTGCTGCCTGAAAGGTGGAACAGAGCCAGAGCAACTTCAGGTGCAGCTCAGCAGCTCCTGCTGAGGGGGAGGTGTGGGGCAGTCCATGGGGCAGGAAGGAGGGAGGCAAGAGGCTCACTTGGAGCCAGTGGTGTGCAACGGACTCGCCTGGAACCAGCTGGAACAGCGACTGCATACACAGTCTGCCTCATACTTCTACATCCATGTCTTCATTACCAAGCCTTAAGGACACTGAGAAAGGATGGAACTGCTGCTGCAAGTGCTGAAAAAAGCTCAAGGTCAAAGCAGACCCTGCAGGTACATCTCCTCCTCATGGCAGGGCCTATATTAACCGCTCCTCAGGTGGCACCTTTAGGACACTGTCCATCTCCAGCCGAGCTCCTGCCACTTCTTGCTGACTGGGACTGTAGGTTCCCTCTGATTGGCGCCTCTTCCTTGCAGTGAGAATCATGAATATGAGGCCGATACTGAGGAGCAGTAAAGAGCCACAGGCTACAGGGACAGCTACTTCAATTAGTGGGGAGGGGAAGAGAGCACCTGGAGTCCCCTTCTGTAAAAGAAATTAATGGACAAACAATGAAACTCCAGTGGTTACAATAACTTTAAGCTGAAGAACCCAAACAGGTCAGAGGAGAGTGGAAAAAAATTTACAAAGGAAAAAAAAAAGCAAAAGCTCTGTACTTGAATGGAAAAGGCCAAGGAACTAGTACCCACCTGAGGGCACCTGCACAGAGAAAGCTCATGTTCATTCGTTAATCTCTCAGCAAAACACATTCAAACTTACTATTTTCTAAATTGGACTATTTTTAACACAAAGGCAGTAACATGTTCTTCATTTTTCTAATTCAAAACTAGGGTCACTCTGCAATGACAGCCTTTAACTGGCAGCTTTGGTGAAGCTGAGCACCACAGGGCCAAGTTATAAACAGATTTACCACTGGAACAGTTTAACCATTTCAATACTTCATGCAGGGCACCATGGGCAGAATTACCACAAGGAAGAAAAGAGAGGATTTCTGGAGCTGGGCAGCCAGCAGCCAGCAAACCTGAAGGCAGCCAGTGTGTGGGACCACTGCTGGAGCTGCAGCTGGGCCCTGCAGCCCTCTGGCTAATGAAGATAAGGCTCAGCTCTTTGTTACAGGTGCAGCAGAGTCTGAGCAACACTTCTGCCTTTGTCAGATGAGATGAAACCATCCAAATAGTCTCACACACTCCCTAGTCTCCTCCCTGCCTTTGGTTTTTCACAGCAGGATGGCCCCTTAAGATATAAATAAAGGGGCCTCCTTACCAATGTCAGACTAAAATGCACACGTGTCACCAGGAAAGATCTAAACACTGTTAAAAAAAAAATTAAAACTATAAAGCTAATGCAAAGTAATGTGAATTTTTCAGTAACCTGGAAAGTTTCCCTGTTCAAGGGAGATGGAGAGCATACAGGGCTCAAGTACTGAGGAGAGAAATGTGGCCCAGTGAGTATTCTTTATATTCTGGTGACATTAAGGATGGTATGGAGCACAACAATGAAAAAAATTTAAAATTGTAGAATTTCTGTCATTTGAGAAAACTTTAAAATTACAATAAGCCTAAAAATAAGAAATATTTCTTACTACAGATACTTCCTATTTACCACTTTACAGATAAAACCAAAATAATTAAAGTTTGATTTTTTTACAGCTTTTGGATGCCACACAATCCATGCTAATGTCACAAAGCAACACAGCACAGGAGGAATATTCCCAGAGCACCTGAAAGTCCTGCCATTTTTAAATTAAGTTCAAGCTGATTCTCTGAGCCTGGGAAAACTCAAGCTTCTCAGGGTTAGTTCTAGCTTTGCACAGCATGCAGGTTAGTCACCCAGTCCCACTACAGGAGGTTTCAGCAGCCCACCCTGCTGCCTCTTGCATGCTCTAGTTGCTGCTGTTGGGAGAGAGGAGCAGGAGAGCACAGCTCACAGCCGTGACCCTTCCCAAATGCAGCCTCCTCCCTGCCCCTGCCACAGGCACTGGCCTTTGAAGAGGGAAGAGGCAGTTCTGCAAAAAGTTTTGGGGAATGATGAGAGTGGATACAGGGATCTACACAATTCCTGAGACAGAGTAGAGAGATGCCTGAAGGAGTCTATGCATGCAAACTGGGAGTGCCCTCCTGGCACAGGCATTTACACAGCCCTCAGTAACAGCAACAGCAGCAGCCCCCCTTGGGACACAGCCCCTGCCATGCACAATGGGTTAGTACATTCCCAGGCTACCAGACAAGCTACCTGTCCATGCAACAGCTTTACAAAGAAAAAGCAAGTTATGATTTAACAGCTTCCACACTGAATTCAGCCTCACAAGCAATGCTGAGGCATCACTGAGCCTGCCCCACCCACCAGCCCCTGCCCATCAGCAGGATCTTTCTATCACTTTTAGCTTCACTTCATCTGACTTCTCCAAACACATCAATTTCTACCCAGATGATCTACTTCTTAATCCAAGAAGAAATATCAGCCAAAATTCCATTCTCCAAGAAACTGGGGGGGGAGATGTCATATCTCTTTCTATAGGTCCAACAGCAGTAGTTTGATTACTGTTCTAGGAGTCAGAAAATCTAAGGAAAGTTGGAACAGCCCTGAACACCACACTGCTGCCCATGCAGATACTGACAAGTATTTGCTGCAGTTGCTGACATGCTGGAGACTAAACATCCAACAGCAAAGAAAAATAAATTTCCCACTTCAGGTCTTTGGTTCCAGCTGTCCTCCAGCTGTGCTTTAGCCAGGACACAGGCAGGGCACTGTGTGACCTGTGGGCAGTGTCACTGACAGCCAGCGCTGTGCTGAGCCCACCGCTGCTGCCCCCCACAGGCACTGGGGGCAGGAGCTCCCAGGAGCCAAGGCAAGTGCTTACATTGATGTCGCAGCGCTCCCCGGTGTAGCTGGAACTGCAAACACACTCGTACTTGTTCTCAGAGTCCTGACAGGTCCCTCCGTTCTGACAGGGGTTTGGATCACACTCGTTTATATTAATTTGACAACTGGAAAGGAAAAGTGTATTAGAATTAAGTGAACTTTTTCATATATGTTCTTGTGCCATAGAACACAAGACCATGCAGTCTGTAACAGCGTAATTTATTTGAAAAGTTCCTGTTGTATCTTTTTCAGGTGCTTTCTCCAGGGTCCAACAACAGGAAAGTGTCACCCATTCATACCCATCCTGCTTTTGACAGTTCAGTGTGGCTGGAGCCCCTGTGGGTCTCTACCTCAGTTAATGAATTCTCATGAGGCACAAGAACTACCTGGAATCGGTTCACCCTGCAAAAATTGGTATTGTCAGCAGGACCTGTCTCTTCTAAAAGTAACTGCTAGTTTACAGTTTAGGAGAAGTTGTTGGAATGGCAAAAGGAGATGTAAGAGGATAAAGCATCTGAACCTCCTCAGCTATCCCACTGACGTAAGAACCAGAGCACCAGGAAATGAGCACTTACTTCCTTCCAGTGAAGCCTGGCCTGCATGAGCAGTTGGCTCCCCAGCTCTCACTGATGCATTTGCCACCGTTCAGACAGGTGAAGTTCTTGCCACACTGCTCGGGTGGGAACGGCCATCTGGGAAAAGCAAGAGGCAGCCTTTAGCACAACCCATTCTGGGGACAGATAAAAGTGTGCTTGGGGCTTGGTAGAGACTGGGTTGACGAGGGTCATAAGCAGCCACTGGAATTTATAGGAAGGAGTCTGGTACAAACAGAGAAGGGAATAGTCCCAGAAACCATCTGTAATCAGGGTGTTACTTTGGGCACGCCCAGAGAAAATGAAGGAGCTGTGGCAGTTCTGGGACTTCTCTAACAGTTCCCTGTTCTTGCTGATAGAAATACCAACAGAGATGGGATACTGCTGGAATAGAAACCACAGCACAGCCTGGTGACAAAGAGGGTATTGCAGGTCCCAGAAAACTATCTGCACCAGAACAGAGTAAAAACAGCAGGGAATTCGACCTGGGTAGATTAGATAAATATTTACATGGCTGAATTTCAATCACCTCAATGTTCAGTTTGAACAGGCACATAGATGGAAGTCTAAGTAACATGTTGATCCCTGCTCCTTTACTAATACAAGACATAACTTTGTGACTAAAATATGCTGGAGTTTTTTGGTAAGGTCTGTCTATATAACATTTGTATTAGTTTGGAAAAAAATACAACCAAGTCCTTGGGTGTCGGAATGCTGTTAATCAGTCTAGGTGTAGAATGTATTTTTATCTAGTATTATATGAAATAATTTGTCAGGGTAATGTTTGTGCAGATGTAGCAGCAGTGGGCACCTTCATGAGCACAGGCAGCTTCCTACTCCCAGGCTTTGAAGCTGGCTGTGTACCACTAGTAGCAAAAGTAACCAGTTAGGAACTCCTGCTTCAGGTAATTCCTCTAAACCCAGTGTAAAAGGTTTATCAGAAACAGGAAGCTCAGCAGAAATTGGTTTGTTCCTCTTCTGCACTTGGCCCAGGGACCACACACTTATCTGTGCTGGGACCACTTCCATCACCCCAGGACACTCAGTGCACCTGAAACTAGAACACAGCCTGCTCCAGCCTCCTCTCTTAAGTAGGCCAGTGGGATTTTTGTTTGTTCAGTTTTGTTTTAAATCTATACAGGAATATGCCTGAGGAGAGTAAAAATCCTGGATAAGATTAATTTCTTGGGGATTGAAAAGGGAAGTGACAACAGGCTACAGTACTTTAAGCAGCTCTGAAGTGTAACATGGGGATAACTCACACAAGAAGGAAGGATCCTTGTCCCATGTGAGGCTGAGAACCTTTCAGTGGGGATTTGGACCTGGACAGCACCTTCCAATTACACAGCAGAGTTTAGGTGCTTTACCTACCAGATACTTGCAATGAAAAATTTTCCCAAAGTGTCCCAAAGTAAAAGCCCAGTTTATCTGGGGTTCCTCTCACCCGTGCATCAAACCAACCAAGGCACTTACTCGCAGCGAGGTCCTGAATACTGAGGAGGGCACTTGCAGGAGTACCCATACACCCCATCAATGCAGGTAGCTCCATTCCGGCACTGGTGCCGCACGCAGTCGTCGACATTGATGTCACACCTCTTCCCAATGAACCCCCGAAAACATTCACACTGAAAATCTGCTACTGCATCCACACAGTCCCCATGCACGCAGGGGCCTGACTGGCAGTCATCGATATCAGCCTCGCAGAGCAGCCCCCCCCAGCCCGTCCTGCAGGCGCAGCTGAAGGAGTTGAACAGGTCCTGGCAGGTGCCGGCATTGAGGCAAGGGCTGGAAGCGCAGACATCAGCCCCAGTGCAGCCCAACTGGATGGTCCTGCTGCTGGACTGCTGGAACTGCTCCAGCTGGGGGTATGGGAGGGGGGCAGTGAATGGCAGGTAGATCCCCCCTATCTTGACTTGTCCAAGGCAGCCGGTGTAATTTTCAGCCAGCACCACCAGGGTGTTGTTCTTGAGGAAGTCCAGGTTCCCAGCGTTGCCTTGCAGAGTCATGTTCACAGAACCATCCACACAAACCCACCATCTAGAGGAAGGTGCAGTGGGCTCCTCCATTGCCAGGGAGACGCTGTGCCAGGCCCCATCTGTGAGGGGCTGCTGGCTCAGGAACTTCACACCTTCTATGCTGTTCCCACTCCTGATGTCCACCAGCAGGGAGGAGTTCTTAATAGCTATCTGGAGGGAATCCACTTCTTCCACAGCCCGAAGCAAAACAGCATCTTCATCCCTGGTTCTGAAATCCACGTGGAGGCTGCTCAGAGTTCTGGTCACTGAAGTGTTGGTGGTAAATTCAACAGCAGCAAAACTATGGAATGTTGCGTTAGCCAGACCTATAAACAAAGAGGTGGAGCACCAGGGATTAGAAAGACAGTTGGTGTCATGTTTGAGACAGACCAATGGCAAACTCCTGGCAGGTTCCCTCTCAGGAATCATGTAAGCTTAGTGTGAATAGGATTACAGGCCTAGCTGCTGGCATCCTTAAAGCTCTTCCTGATTACAACTGGATCTTTTAACCGCAATATCCAACTCTGGTGGAGCAATTTTTACTCCTCATTTTCACAGCACTGCACAAAAAAGCAACTATTCCCCTTTTACTGCTAGAAAAACTAGAACATAATTCAGGAAACTAATACATCCAAAGCTGCAGAGGTGGCCAGTGGCAGAGCTGGAAATATCCTGACATCTGGAGTTCCAGAACACTTTCCAGCCACTAGACAACACTCCCTCCACACCAGGGCATCATTAACTAATGATAACATCATTAACTAATTTTCTACATTCTCCATAGTTCTGTCTTAGAAGAGAACTGAGACACTTTAACAATACTTAACTGGGTCCTACTTGATGAAATAAGCTACGAATAATGCTGCAGAGAGCAGGATGGTCCTTGTGCTGCAGTGATCCTAAGGTAGACAGTCATTCCACAGAAGTGGACAGGTTCCTCCCTGACCAAGTCAAAGCAAGTGAAGAAAAGACCTCTGAGTACCACCTTTGGTCTGTCAGAACCTGGTGCAACAGTACAAACTAGGAATACTTGTTACAGACTGAACCTGAAGGACTTTACCAACACATAAGCTGTGAACAATACTTACACACATATCCTGCTAGAACATCCACACAGGTGGTAGCTTCAGGACATGGGTCACTTTCACACCAGACTCTCTCTTCACAAAATTTCCCAGTGAAATTTGCTGGACAGCTGCAATGGAAATCATTCCAAGTGACAGTGCATCTGCCACCATTCTGACATGGTTCAGACTGAAAAACAAAGTAGCAGAACTTAGGAGCAGCATAATTCATCTTTGGATCTAAGAGAGCTTGGTAGCAGGAAATGTGACAAAGATTAGTACAAGCAATGCTTGAATCAAGGAAGAGGAGTAATTAAAATAGTGACTCAACAGCCGTAAAGGAAGCACAAGGGTCTCTGTGCTGCCCAGGTTCACAAACTACAAATACTACAGAGGAGCTGGAGAAAATGTCGTACTTAAAAAACACCTTCTCATCTTCCTGGTATCAGCAAGAGTCAAACTTTTCTGTAATCACAGATCTATAATAAACAACTGTACACATGTGCAGTGACAACATACCTTGCAGGTATCATCAGAGATGCAACCATTCACAAGATTATCTTCTTGAGTCCTGTTCAGGTCCTGTGGCAGACTGTAGTTCTCAACCTGAAAAAACTGTACTCTGAGGCTGTTCAGTTGGATGTCCTGCAGACAGCCTTTAAAATACCCTCCCCACATATTGGTTCTCTCTGGGTCAGGATGTCCACCAACATGCACTTCATATCCTGCTAAGAGAGGCCTGGCTTTGAGCTGTCCCAGCTCCACGTATGTGTCTGACTGATAAACACCAACAATTCCTTCTTGGAAAGACAAAGCTACCAAATGTCTTCTCCCATCAACTACATTTTCAGGAAATGTCACCACATCCATAGGTTCCATCTCTATGCTCAGCCTGCCGCTCCTCAGGTACAGGGTGAGGCGGGGCTCGGTGGCGTTGCTGATCTGCAGTAGCAAACCGCTTGGTTTCCGACTACGAATGAGAAAGGAGATGTTGAAGTTTGCACCAAGGCTCTTGGAAAGGGTGAAAGAGGCAAAGCTGGTGGAATTCTCTACGCCAAATGTTGCTGCTGGGTGCTCTGGAAGAGAAAAGAAATGCACATCAGCTCAGTGACAAGGGGCATGCAGCTGGCATATGTTCTAAGCTGCTAATGAACGATGCAAGACTTTTCTTCCCAGCGTTTCCAACACGCAGTGTCATTGTGCTCTCTCCCTGCACAAGTCTGTGGAATTAAAGATTAGATTAATATGTCCTTGATTTCTCTGGAGGGCATGAATTCAAGCACCCAAGTAGTAGGAGGGAAACAGAGTTCTAGCAGAGCCCTTGCCAGGCAGCAGATTTTCTCAAGGACTTTTAAGCTACAAAGTTGCTTTTAAAATTGGCAAATTTGGTAACAGCAGAACAACTTTGTACTTGTCCTGTTTAGGGTGCAGGAGTGAAACAAAAAACTGGCACAATATTAACATATGCCTTGCAGGAACAAAAAAATAAATGCCAGTAGATGTGATTTTAACTCAAAATTGTCAGAGCTTCCTTTAAGTGTCTATCTATAAAGTGGTATGTTCCTAGTCATCCTCAACACAGAAGCTTAAGATCAACTTCTTTCACAGTCAAACAACTTCCCTGCCCTCCTGTATTCACACAGATCTGATACAAAGATTAAATCAGAGCCCCTGGCTCAACAAGGAATGACCTGCACCACAGAACTGACATTCGCTCCTTCAGGAGCACATGACAGAAAAGGGATAAGAAATCTATTTAGAGAGGTTTTTCTCACTGGTCAAGTAGAAAATACTGTTTCCAGAGCTAGCATCAGAGCTTACCTAGGCTCTTTGAAATACCAGTCAAGAGAGGAGCTGGCAGGCGTCAATCAGGCAGCACTTACCGTATGAGCAAGCTGGGCCTCCGTACGGCCTCGGACAGTCACACCTGAAGGTTGTCCAAAGGTCCACGCAGCGCCCGCCGTGAGAGCAGGGCTGGGAGAGGCACCACTCTGTCCGGTCACAGCCCTGCCTCACCGGGGAGGACTCCCCCATGGGCAGATCCACTGGGAGCACAGGTTCAGCATCTACCTGAAAGTCTTCCAGGCAGCCAATGAAGCCTTGCTGGCTCTGTGTGTTGTTTGCCATGGGCTCCTCAGCACCTCCAAGATACATGTTCAGGAAGGCCTGGGGAACTGAAGCAGTGCCCTGTGGGACAGGAGAGCTCTGCAGGCAGACACCTGCCTCACAGGAGCCATGCCAGAGCTTCAGCTGCACAGTGCTGTTCACAACAACTTCAACTTTATGCCACTGTCCATCATCGACTCGCAGCCCCTCCAGGAGCAGCGGGTAAACGGCATCCTCCCTCTTCAGTCCTGCATGCAGAATGCCATCCAAGAGCTCCAGGAACAAGTACTCAGCTTCATGGCCTCGGTAGAAAAGAATAGCGCTGGGCAAGGTGGTTCGGAACCGGAGGGAGACGCTGGCAAGCTCATCTGCTACATCCCTCCTGCTCTGATTGTTCATGGGCAGCTCAATGAGGAGATACCCTCTGGAAGCAAAGGAAAACGTTGTTGGTGTTGAGCATGTGGCATCATAGAAACCAGGCTGGCACTGGCACAGGTGGCCATGGCTCTCAGCTTGGTAGGTTGGGATGCACAAGGCCTCATTTTGGCAGTCATGCGTCTGGCACCCAGTGAGCTTGACAGAGCAGTTCTTCCCTCCCCAGAGAATGCCATCCTGGCTAGGGACACAGTGGCAGGTATAATCAGCAATGCCATCCTCACAGACAGCTCCATTCTTGCAGGGACCCTCCTCACACTCATTGATGTTAACAGCACATTCCACACCTGTGAAAGAGATGTAGAGAGGGGATCTCACTGTGGGGGGCCTGGGCTGCCCCTCAAGCCAGCCTTCAAGCACAGACCGCCCGCCCCAGCACTGCTGCTCCCTAAGCCATTCTCTTCAGGAAATCACCCCAAGAGCTGCCAGAAAGAGGCCCCGTGCTCACTGTAGAGCGGGCTGCCACTGCCAGAAGGGCCTGAAAAACACATTTCTGTGCCCTCCTCCCAGATGCTTCAAAGAAGGTGCCATTGACAGAGCTTTGGCCAGTCCAACAGACTACCACCATCTGCCAGGCAATCTCAAACATCACAGGAAATGAACATGTAAGGAGAGCAAGCAGAGGGTATTAAAGGGGCAAAACAGCACAGACAAGAACTTTGTGCTTCTTTCACACATAGATTTGGTTCTTTGAAACTCAAATTAAGTCTACAGATCTGACTTGAACATGTTCTGGGCACCACTCTTGCACACAGCATAAAAATGGGAAGTTATAGGAAAACCTCAGTGAAGAAATTTCAGATTTCCAGACGACCCCCAGTTATAAAACACTCACAAAACTCAGTTAATTACCAAACAACAGACAAAACATGCTCCACACACATTTTGCCACACGTGCACTAAGCTGATTTCAGTCCTGTCCAGTGCTGCAGAAGTGATCGGGCTAAAAAGTACTGCACTGCAGTTGGTCTCTCTCCTGGAGGAACATGTATCCCAACAGGGCTCAAGTAAATTACATGACATTACACTCAAATCTGGTTAATGAAAATCTGTTGTCATTTTCCTAAGCATCTCCAGACCGACAGAAGAGCCCTTCTGAACCAGTTCACTTTATCTAGCCCATAACATTGGTTTTCACTAATCTTCAGAGACAGTCACACAGATAAACCAAGCATGGATTATCCCAAACTAATAGCATTATACGCTGAATCTAGCTAGCAAGCACAACGAGGACAGCAGAAAGAGAAGGAATTCACACACAAAGGAGGGGAATCAAAACACAAAAGACATTTGTAAAGAGAAGCCACTAGGAAGAATGTGCATGTCAAAGAGATTAGAGTTGCCTGAGGGAAAGAGCTGAGGGGAGATGGGGCATTATGAGCATCAGAGTTGGACTTGGTGTGTGATAAAAAAAAAACTTAGCAAACAGACAGCTTCTTGAATATATGCCTAGATGGTTTGTCCACCCTCATGCCCCAGCTGTGCCCCACGGGCAGTCCTGCACAAATGTCTAGTACTCTGCTGCCTGACCAAGCTGCTTTACCTTTCCCAGCCACAGTGTTTAGTTGCTGTTACCAGCGTTCTCTCTAGAAAGAGGCAAAGGACTCAGGTCCAAAATGTCAGGTTGTGTCAGTGCAGGGACATAAGATGTATGGAGCTCTGGGAAGCACTGAAATGCCAAGCTCTAGGAATGCTGCACTTGCCAGCTGTGCTGGAGCTGTTGTGTAGGCTGCATTACCTCAGACTCCCCTAGGACAAAGCTCTCTTAGTGACATAAAATAGAACTGCTCTGTGTAGTGTCTGTGGAAAATCACTGAATTTGGCCAACACATCTGCCTTGAGCTCAGCTGACAGACCGATTCAGAACTGCTAATACTACCTCAGCACAGTCTTTTATGTACAGCAATTAACGCTGGGCGGGCTCAGCACACAGAACCGGGGGTGTGATCTTACCTGTAAAGGAAGCAGCAAAGATAGAATTAAGATGCCGCACAAAGCTATGGCCACATTGCCTGGCCATATGGTCAGGAAATGTGTCAGAATAAACAGAGTATAATGGACATCTCTGGGCCTGGAGAATGCCAGTCTGGGACAAGACACGAAGACTTCAACAGGAATTATGAAATATCAGTAGAGCAGTAGAACTATGAGGAGTGAGTTTTCCAAGTTAGCAGCATTTTGGAGGGCTCTCAAAACTGTAAAAGACAAGTTTGCAGTCAGATTTAAGGGAAGAGGCTGTTGAATGCATCAGAAAGATAGGCTGGTGTAGTCCCAAATCCTTGAGATGCTGCTCATTTCAGATCAGAGTTGATGATATTAACCAGGGCAATGAGAAGACAGCATTGGTTTGGATAACAAAAGGAAAGATGCCGTGAACTCCTTTATGGCTGAGAAGGCTGGGAGGCAGGGTCAGAGTCTCATTTTCCCCTATCACATTCCTAAGCCTGAGTGCATCTCCTGGGTGCTCCCTCCATTGCAGAGCAGCAGGAGCACCTGCCCAGGCTGTCCCCAGCTGCCCAGCTGACACCTGGGGGGGGTGACAGCTTCACACCAGGTGGCAAATTAGTCCCTCCGGTGAGTGCACAACCCCAGGCTGGTGGCTAATTAAACACCATGCTCTCCCATGGGATGCAGCTGGTTTGAGTTCTTAAATAATTTGTTTGGAATGGGTGAAAGAATAAGCTGACAGTTCAGGTCTTTACACACTGCTGTCTAACCTCACAGCTTCCACACAGGCGGGCAGCTTCTTCCTAGAGCAACAAAAACCACATGAATCATCTTTACCACTGTCACAGTTTCTGCAGCACACAGCCAGCCTGTACTGGCCTACAGCAGAAGGAAAGGCCCTCTCAGACAACACCAAATGGATTCTTGCCCTCCTAGAAGCCAGAGAAATGCCAGATGTGAACTGGGAGCAGTTTTTTTTTAAAACAAACTGGTAGCAGAGGAGACTGTGCAAGAGTTCTAAAAATCTGGCTAATAAATTTTTTTCCTGGAAGCCATTGTCACCTCTCTGAACAGTTATCTGGTGCTACATCCTTAACTCCTTAGATGCCTTACAGTGGCCATACCCTTCAGCACCAGTTGTCTTGCCCTCTCTCCTCCTCCACTATCACCAATTTTTTTTGTCAATTGTGTTTGAATACCTCCAGTTTGATAAACACTTCAAAAAAAGGCAGAAGATTTCAGTTGCATATTGCTTCCTAGATGTTCATTTCAGCACAGGAGTCTCTAATGTTGGGCTTTGGCTGCAGACAACAGAGTGTAAAACGAGAAGGGTGTGCCAGCAAAATAAAGGAACATTTCCTACTTCAGAAAAAATAAGGCACAGTATCCAGAAGTACAAATCATTTCCTTATCCAAGACCTGACAGTTGTGTCTTAGCAAACCCACTGGAAAGTGGATATTAAGAAGTTCAGAAGTATTTTTTTTCTCTAGGAGCAGCTTAGGCATCCCTATAAACAAGGGGGGAGGACAACTCCATTTGACAATCCGAAGTTACTCTTATGCAGAGAGTAACCCTCTAAATTTCTGAGGTCAAATGTTTACAATTATTAAAACTATCAACAGTAAGAGCAATGTTGCCAATCTAGTTCATTACAACATTAGGAGAATTTATAATGTTTAAAGAGTTTTTTATCTAGTTAAAGACTAAAAAATGCAAATCAGTAGAATTTGTTATCTGAAAATCAGACAAGTGTTATTAAAAAGGCTGCTATCTGGAGACAAGTATTTTCAAACATTCCAATTAATTCAACAGTGTTGAAGCTAGCAGAGCCAAGCAAACAGCCCACATGGGCTGGGTCAGAAACACACAGAAGTCACTGAGCTGTAACAGCCTGCAGGATTCCAAATACAAATCTATTCACTAGATTCCACAGTGCTACCGATGTGGTGAGGACAGTCTTGTACCATAGATGCAAGTGTTACTAAAATCCATACAGTTCACCCCTTCCCCAAATGAAGGTAATGATTAGAGACTGCTACTAATAAGCAAAGATTCATCGTATACATTGTAAGAATCACATACTTGAACAGATACCCAATATGTTAAAAGAACAAGCATATGTAAAGAGAGATACTCCAATTTAGCTGTCATATAGAAAAAACCCCTTGAAGGACAAGGTTTATTCATGGGCCCCATCTTGAAACACAGGGGTTCAGTGGGGCTTCCTGGCCAGCACTGTCTTGCCCTCTCCCATAAGACAGCTGAATTCCTAGCAGCCTTTCCCTGGTGCATCCTAATTAGGGTTTGTATTATTATTATCAAAAGAAAAAAGGAGAGGAGGGGGAGAGGGGGGAAAGGAAGAATTAGCTGCAACAAACGGACCCGACACAATTATATTTGCACAATTACTGCCATTTCCATGGCAACCCACTGCTCTGACCTCTCTCCCACCGTGCACTACTACTCAAGGAGACAGTGGGGGAGGAGATGGAGAAGTGCATAGGCCAGCAAAGGGTTTGTCCTCTAGGTTAAACCAAAAACTACTTCTCAGTAAAGGAATTTAAATCATTAAAGCCAAAAGGAAAATTGGAAAAACACCTGTAAAGAGCAAAACTAACGTTTGACAGAACTAAGAGGGAGGGATCTGTGTGTTTACACAGTACCCCTGAGTACAGAAGGAGGACCCATGCCTCATAGCACCCTGGAGCCAAGTACTGCAAGGAGCCAGGCAGAATTGTAGCAAAGTTGCACACAGCACAAGGATGGCTCCGCAGGCATTCTGCGGCAACAAGGAAATTCCTTGCCCTAAACTTTCCGAGACAGAACTTTAGGTCTCTTCAAAATAACATTCTTCCTTTCTAGTCAATTCTTGTTCCTTCTCATGCCTCCAGCTACGACTACTCTCACAACCAGCTCCCTGCCCTGGGCAGGCACACAAACATTCAGGACACATTGCAATTACTGTAGAGATCTCATTACCTGATAGCAGAAAAATTCCCTTCAGGATCACGCCAATCAGCACAGATTTCATGGCCGACTCCTTGTGGACATTTGTGACAGTAAAGGGAAAAAAAACGGGGGTGAACTGGGGGGAGGAATGATAAAAAAAGGCTGGACTGAAACAGCAGAATGTGTGCAAGCTCCTGATGCCAGTCAGACAAAAAGGGATTGGAGATAAAACTAGCCAATATAGCAGAGACCTGCGCTGCAGCGAGATCTAATCCAGCCTGCTCTGACCCTCCCAGCTGGCCCCTGTCAGTGCTGACAAGAAGAATGCCTGCTCCAGCAGATCCTCGCCCTGTGCCTTCCAGTAATACCCTGCAGGATCCACAGCATTAG